AGCCCATTTGTTCATAAAATGAGTTCAGTCTGCCCTGCCTCTCTTAAGCGGAGTTTCCTTCTTTTGTAGCTCTGAGGCAACCCCCCCTCCTTGCCCCGAGGCACTGGCTGCACCATTTCCCAAACAGCTTTGCCTGAAGCCATGGCCGTGCCTGCAGAAGGAAAAAGATTTCATTCTCCTCCCAGAGCAGAGGGTTGAGCTGCTGCAAGGAGCACCACCCGCACGAGTACACTGCCCACCTGCGTTCATAACCGTTCCTAACCCAGGGCCCAATAAACAGGCAGGTTTATAATTTCCAGAGGCACGCACAGCACTTTGGGGAAGCAATACTATACGTTCCTGCCTTGTTTTCAACACTTTTCGCCAGGTGCTGGCTGCTGCTGGAGATGGGAGGAGACAGCCCTTTGATCTGGCCCAGCGTGGACGTCCTTGCCCCTCATGAATATACGGCTGGGTGGGTTCATTTGCCCTGGGCGTTTGTACTACTCTGGCTGCACAAACTAGAGAGATTATTTTATTACAGCCATTGAAATTAAAATATATAAGCACTGGAAGATGCACTCATGTTCATTAGGTTGGGTTCCTCGTGAGCCTCGGGCCATGCATGTAGGTTCATCGAGCTAAGGCTGCGCGTGAACGGGGCACTCACGGTGCGGGTTAAAATTGTTCTGTGCTAAATATATAAAAGAATACAACCCGGCGCACTGCTTGCTTTTGAGGAGTACCAGCCCTGCTTCAGTCAGGCAGCAGGTACACAGAGAGAGACACATCCCTGACCTTTCTGTCGGCCCTCGAAGGGGCTTTTGGCTTCGTGGGCTAATGAAGCCAAAAAGACAGACAGCAGTTGACAGAGACTGCTGAAGTGGGCTCAGAGGAGAGCAAAAGAACAACTCAGAGGCAGAAATGAAGCGATACAGTTCTGCAGCCCGTGGGCCTCAGCGTAAAAACTCTCCCACTGAGTTGCAATGGCCATCAGCAGAATTAACCTTCTGCTCTAATTACAATCACTAAATTCCTGCTAACGCCCCCGTCCTATGTTATGTCCAAACAGCTCTGTTATCTGTCACCTCCCCACACGGTGAGCCTAGCTCCCCACTGCCACAGCTCTCATTAATGCCACTCTGGCTGGCTGATGAGGCAAGTGGCAGCCGGCTCTAGAGCCCAGATGAGTTTTGCAGTCAGCAGGGGATGTTTATCCAACAAGGAGGGGATGAAAGTGCAAACACAGAGAGATGGTCTCTCTCCCTTTGCAATTGCTCCGGCATCGTACGGGGCCATTCTCATTAAAAATAGTCTCCCTGACAGGAATTAATTGGAGGTGACAACCCAGTGAGCTAATTTAGCAAATAGGTCCAGGGCTTGGCCCAGTGCAAATTACAGTGGTCTATCTGCCAGGTGAACCCGAGCCCTTCCCAAGGAAGTGAAAGGCAAGAATGTGTTAAGCTGGCCCTGTTTTGGCCCGAGTCTGTGTGTCAGAAGGTATGGAGGAAATGGCAGCCTCAGGTCTATTTGAGGGGCACAATGAAGATTAAACTTTCCTTCTGCACCCATGCCTTCTCCTTCCTCTTCCTCCCGCAGCCTCAGGTCACAGACGGGTTCCAGCTCATTAAGTGCACAGTAATTCTGCCACTATCCCCTGTAACCGTAACCACCAGCCCAGCTCAGATCTTTCCTCCAGGATGCAACCTGCTTGCAATATTAGATGGCTTTTCATTTCTCTTTAATGTTAGAGCAGAGCTCTGGGAGGGGATAAAATACACAGAGAGAAACAAGCAACTTAAAAGGCTTTTTATTTTTTAGGCAAATATCTGGTTTGGGAAGGCTGCTTTGAATCCCCAAGCAATGAAAAAGGGTTTCAGTTGGAGTGCAGTGACTCAGTGTCTTTCTATGCTACAAGAACACGGAAGAAAATACCCCAAGGCCTCACAATCTGCCCACAATCAAACCACCCTAGGCTGCAAACTCATTAGATTCACTTGCTAAGGTGAAGCATTAGGCTGGTCAGCATTTGGATCAGTTGACTGGGCGGGAGGAAGAGAAAGAAGAAAACCTCTCAAAGGATCAGAACAGGCTTCTGCGAGGATCTCGCAGTTCCTTGGTGGGCACATTTTCCCCTATGAATTGCGACCCAACACGATGCCACTGTCTAGCCCACCTGACTGAGGCACTCCAGGAAACGCAGCCTATCTGCTGAGACATAAAATAGAGGCTTTACAAGAAGTTTGCTCCACATTGCTATTTTATGTGCTTTGCCTGAGTCAGGGGCTCCACACTGTCAGGCTGTTTGTTTGGTTTTAACCTAAGGTTAATTCTTATGCTACTGGAAGTGCTATGTCTGCTGTGCTAGCCTGTCTGCGCAGCGGTGCTGGGAATAATCAGCTCCTTTGGAAATGTACCTGCCTGTCTTGCTGGGAGCTCCCATGCATTGCTTAGGAAACCAAACTCTCCTAGATTGGTTGCAATCCCCCCAGGAAGGCCCAAACAGTCCTCTGAAGCTGTTGAACAGGAAGAGATGGAAGAGCCACAGCATCAGCCAATTAATAAGCAGCACTTTTACTCTCATCCAGCCCTATTTTCAGCAGCTGCAGCAAGGAAATTTAATTCGAGGGTTCCCAGGTGCCTTGCAAAGCATCCTGCTACTTAGGGATCTTCACATTACATATGCCAAGAGCTCTTCAAGCAAAGTGGGGAGAGTGAAATGAAACTCAGCAAAGCACTTCACAACCAGTGGGCAACCCAGGTGGCTACCCATTCGATTCCATCTCAGCAAGAGTTAATCCCCCCTGAGAGCCCCTCACCGCTGAAGTTGGACAGAAGCCTCCTAGGGCTGGAGGAGGTGCTGGGCTAACTGGTTAGCTAAGCTTTCATCAGCCTGATGCTGGCAATAAATCAGTTGTGAGGGGCTGTGAGTAAGGCCCATTTTATCTGAGGAGAATATCTCACTTTGATCCTAGGAGGATTTTTGCACCACCGTAGCTAGTGCCTGGAAGCCAGTGTATCCAGTGAGGAGGGTTCACAGATAAACAGTAGCTCTTCATTCAGTCAGACAAATCCTCTTTCTTAAGAGCTCTTCAGACAGCAATGCTTTTAACCTTTTGAGTTTTTCACGCTTACATTCAGTAATGTCACTATGCTCTGCACTCCGACGCTCGAGCAGCAGAACACAAAGCTGAGCCCAGACACCCCGGCATGGAGGGGAAGGAGCAACAAAGCAGGAAAGCATGTAGGACATGGAAGAGGGTGGTGGAGCAGGAAAAAGCGTGAAAGGTCTGGAGCGCTCTCCTGGCTGTTTGGAGCACAAGTGAAACATCCCAGGGAAAACAGCAGGACAGCAGGGCGGGAGCACAGGGACAGATCTGGGAATGGTCAGGCCGGAGACAAGAAAAGGGTGTGATCCCCTGCGTCCAGGGAGGAAGAACGTGAAAAGGGCTCTGTGAAACCCCAGTACGGTACATGGAGGTGGAGACCTCCTCATAAGGCGCAGCTGACTTTGCAGGAGGAGAACCAGGAGGCAATACTGTGTAAGCCTTTTCCATGCTGCTCCCTGCTTGTGCTTGACTTAAGCGGGAAACAAAACTCCTCTGCTTCCTCTTCCCTCTGCCATCCCTTCTTCAGACTTACCCACCACGATGGCACCCATAGCTTTTCCTAAGAGCCTGCCCATACATGAGACTGGGTTACAGCAGGGCCACGGTACAACATTTCTCCAAAACAAGCCACCTAATAGTCAATATTATGCAGTAATGCCAAAAAAGAAACAGCAGCAGCAGTATCCAATGGGGCATGAGCAAAATCAGAGGGTTAAACTCTCACAAACACTCAGCCTCCTCTAGGTCACAACTTGTAGAAGAAATGTGATTTTTTCCTTCTCATTTAATCCCTTTCACTAGGAGCTCAATAAGAATCAGATACAAGACTACTTTTAAGCACTGTGCAAAAGGAGAAAAAACTCAACATCACAAGGATAAAAATCACAGATTAGTTTGTTGAGTTGCAGGGCTAATAACAGTGAAACTCAGCTAACGGGGAAGTGGTCCTGTGACAAACTGTCTTCATTATTAGAGGCTCCCCTGTGTCCTGACTTATTATTAAGCACTGAGAACGTGCTCTGCGCTGCACAAGTTACAAACAAAGACTATCCCACCCCAGAGGGCTCACAATCAAACAGAGACATAAAATTGAAGCCTACTGTGCAGACTTAGAGGACAGAGATGCTTAGATCTTTTTAAATTGTTTTGTTTTCTATCTACAGTAAACAAGCTTTTCCTTGCAAAATGCATGTGCTTCCAAGCAATCATTGAATGGCAAGAACCACCAATGTTAAGTTTCCCCATTTTTACAAAACATTGAAAGGTTGCGGGCACATTGCTGAGCCTGGATGAAAGCATCCTCAACTCTTTTCCCTAACCTTCTCTAACCAGTGATGCCTTCAGATTTTCATCAGTTCTTCCCCCTCCCCCCCATTATGATTTCTCTTCATATTCAGAAAACCTTGAAATCCACTTCTCTTCCTGCGTAGAGTTTATACAATCCCAATAGCTTCATTATTGTGATAGCACAAAAGCCCTTCTGCAACACAAACAGCCAATGACTTTTCCCTGCAGTTCCCGCCTGAGAGCTCTTCAGCTTATTCCCTTTATTTCACATGAGTGAGGGGGCTGGTACTCTGCTGGCTTGCATCTTTGGCCTGTAACATCTATAACATCTACTAACGACAGTGGGGTTGTAAACCCCATTCAGAACCCCGGGCACGAACAGTCCGATGGGAGGCAGCAGGGCACTGAAAGCTCTTAATCGAACCCAACATCAGACTGAAAAACGAACACTGAGCTACATAATCAGCCTGCCTCTCCCACTCAGTAGGGAAGGTAAAGGTCATCAGGGCTTGGCTATTTCACTAACTTCAGCCCTTCGCTACCAAGCGGATAGGGATATAAAAGCCTGCTGAGAGGTCCTCTTTCCAAGGACATGCACTGAGACTCCAGAAGAGCAGACCTTACCTGCCTGACTTCCAGGCGGTACTTGAGGACAGGATCTACTGCATCAGGTTCCTTCTGTGTCCACTGCAAGACGTAGGAGTAATTCTTTGATTGCTTCTGGCTCAAGGTGGGGTTGGGAGTATCATAGTAAAACTCTGGGCTATAAGCTTTTGCTGGAGAGAGAGAGAGAGGAAAAAAAAAAAAAGACAGGAAAGTAAAAGGGTAGGATGGCAGGGAAACATAAACTACAAGGAAACGTGGTGAAAGTAGCACAGCTCTGCTTCCCTAACTCATCAGCTCACTTTTGACATAACAGGCGATTACTATTCTAGCTGGTGTTGCACTGGGTACCACGCTGACGTGCTAAAACTGTTCACGTCATCATTTTCTGTGAACCAGTACTGCTTTCACAGGCTAACCTACTGGGAGGGTTAACAACCCTGCCACGCCAGTGGGGCATGACCAACACCAGAAAAGGCGGTAACAGCTCCAGTTCTCCAGCTGGAACCATCTCTAATCTTTCCTCTCTCACTTCTGTAGTTTAGATTAAGGTAATGGCTTTAAACTGGCATTTCTCCTGTTTCATCTGCTGCTTTACAGAGTCTCCTGCTAACACTCCCTGAGGAAAGGTCATTTGACCAGTAGGTCATAGGAAAAATGTTATTTATCACACAGGGACCATGGCATTAAAAAGAAGACCTTGTTCCTTCTGCATCTCCCCCGGCCTGGCGATACAGAGCTCCAGCCTCTTTGTAACGCGATAGTCAGCTCTGTGGCAAAGGGGATGCTGATCTCAGCCACGGTAGAAACAGCAAGGGGTTTTGCATGGGTGAAGATTTCTTTTCTAAACTAGTGTCTCCCCATAAAAAACAGAGGGCAGGAAAGGAAGTGCAGAAGACACGATGTACTAGAGAGAAATAGGATGGTTGAGAGGACGAGTGATTTCCCATGCTTTTCCCAGCTGCTGCTGACCTGAATCCTGAACAAACAGTGCTCAGAGGCTACTGCCATACAGCCTGCAGACTAGCGGACAAATGCATGGTGTGTGCCCTTGGCCAAAAGTGGGTGTCCCCAATACTGAAAGGGGGTGCTGATAGTTTGGCAGTCTACAAGCCCCAGCCAGCTTTGTTAAAGGTGACCTTGGGGCCCTCCCTGGCACTGGCCCAGCCAAACCAGCCCTGGAAGTGCTGTCACAGGGTGGCATGGGATACAGCCCAGAAGGGCAGTAGGCATGGCTGGATCACGGCTTTTCATGCTGGAAGGAGAGTAAGTTTAGGCCTGAACTAAGAAGTGCCACAGGCTCAAGTAGTCTCCTTTCCCATTATATGCCAAAACTGTCTCAAAACATCACTATGTCCAAACATACTTGGCTTAGGTGCTGCACACAGCTCCTCAGAGCAAGCCAGAACTAATTCAAGGTCTTACCCATAACTGTCTCTGACCTGTATGAAATTACTTTCTTTTCTCCCTGCGCACTTAGGTTTCTGGTAGGTCCTGGGCAAGGCAGAAACTGGGCCTCAACCAAAACTCTCCCTTCTGAGTTCAGGTCCAGTCAGGACCTGCACGGATCAGAAACATGTCTGGACAGGGTGGGCTGCTGGAGAGTGGAAAGGACATAAATACCGTTGTCTTGATCAGTCCTCTGCACAGGCTTCTACCTTCCACTTGAATCATGGGCCTTGCCATTCTATGAGGTTATAATTAGGCTTGAAAGGATTCAATGTTTATTTTTATGAACTCAGATGGATAATATTGATGTTTGTTTCCAAGTCCTTTTTTTCTTATTATTTTTATTGACTTAAATTTTTGCACAAGCAAGAAGTTCAGAACCACCTCAGACACTAATTGCTGCTTATTCAACTTGTATTGACTGTGGAAGTCAAGTTTCATAATGGATTCAGAAATAACATCAGAACTGATGATGATGATCATCTTGCATAATGTTAACTCTTTATTAATTGACTCTAAGATAGAAATGGAAGCTTAAAAGAAAGGCCTTCTGGTAGAAATGCAGCACGTATACTTTTGGAACTTCCTTTCTGGAAAGCTTACATTGGTGGAAAGTTTTCTCTTTTGCTTTCAACCGATGGGAAAAGCTAAAGGTGGTGTGGTCGATCTTTCAGGGCTTGTCTGTGCTTGTAGCTAGTGGGAGGGCAGGTGGTGACCAGTATGGGCAACCTTGACAACCCGCTCAAGGAGTGCAGGTTGGATGTCTCACCATCCTTCCAAAATAACACTAGAAGCTAATCTCCCATCTGCAGAGGAAACTAATCCCTTCACACAGACCCATCCATTCTGGGCAGACTTACATACAACAGTATGTACATCTGAACACCTCACAGACCCTATGGAACCCCTGCACTGCCTCCCTGTTAAATAGGAAGGTTTATGGTCCATGTTTCATAGAAAAGAAACAGAAGTAAAAAGGGACTATGCTATTCCCCCAATCCCACAGGAAGGTGGCAGCAGGCCAGGGAATTAAAATTCCACCATTCCTGAGTCCAAGCGCAGCAGTCTAACCACCGGATTATTTCTCAAGTTGCTGTACAGGCTCAGAGGTCTAATTTATTCGTAGCTATCCAGGACACAGGCAGAGACGTCTGGAGGTGAAAGGCCAGCATCCGGTATCAATGCCTTGAAAGTGGAGAAGGGAAGCAGCCAAACAAGAAGTTGCACTCCCGATGAGTGCTCTCTAGGGATGAAGAACATTGCTTTCTGCTGCGGTGATCTTACGTCATGGGGCGCAGCATGGCACATCAGATGGCATTTCACATTCGTCACCACTTCCAGCAAGAAATCCAGATCCTGGGAGCACTCCCAAACTTGCTAGGGATAAAGTTTCAGGTGGTGGCTCACAGTGTGGTACGCGTTGCTATAATGTAGCTAGTGATATGAGAGTTGCAAGGACACGAAGACAGAGCAGAGAAGGCCAAAGCCCTGTAGCAAAATCCACTGCCAGACCAATGCTAGGAGATCTCAAGGAGTGACAGCAAGATCTTGAGAATGGAACAAACAGTAGAAACAGGGTTTGGGCTTCCCCATTCCCAAAAGCACCTCAGCGTTACAGCACACACTAAACCACCAGATCAGAGCAGAGAAAGTACTAGTACATGAGCTTTTTCAAACCTCAGGAAAGATCTGCTTCAAAATCTGGTCTCTTTGCATGTTACTTGTTGTCATTTGCTCAGCCCTGTCTTGAAATGTATTATAAATTGGCCCTGGACTGAAAACACAGTATTTTGGCTGAATTTACTGCTTATCAGGGCAATTTCCTCTGAGAGCTTATCGAGAAACCGGTGCCCAAGTCAATTCTAGGGTCATGGGAAAAATAGATTTAATGATCAGCTGAAGTGACTAGGTCAGATGTGTGGTTTTAGATGCTATAACTCTGCCATCCCTTTTAGCAGTTGCTGAAGAGGAGTCCCGTTATGATGCTTGCTGGATTCACCGAAAACTCAGCAGTAAACCACTGAGTACTAGTGTCCATCCCCATTACATTTTTGTCCTAGCAGATATCATGACACAAAGACAACCTGGAGACACAAGGAAGGAATAGGAATACATGATATTGATTTTTTTTTTTTTTTTAAGGGGAAACTGGATGTCTTTGGAGTCTGCTGGGTGGATGTAGAGTCTTTCACTCCCATTTGGTCAATACTTGACTGCAATGTGTTGGCCAGGCCTGAAAGCCAATGGCAGCCTGCAGTTTAAGTCCCGTATCTTTCAGGCAAGCGTTCAAACATTGCTAAAATGTACCAGTGGCTGGCCTTACTGCCCTAGGTCCATTCCAGACTTGAAAGACTGCCTGAGCGATGGAAATAGATCTCTCTTTTGGCCTACAGAAAGTCATCCCTTCTGAACACAAGAGAGAAGGCAGTGATGGTGAGTGAGTTTGCTTGCACTGGCTCCAGTTTATTGGGAGCAAGCTTCCCATCTCCGTGACTCTGTCTAACAAGCCTCAGGACCCACAAGCCATCGTGAGGTCATCGTGAGGAAGCCAGCTGCAAACAGAACAAGCAGCAGCACGTGCTGGATGCACACATCCCAATCCGTCCTGCACATCTCAGGGGCAATTACCTTTTCTGATCTCCCATCAATGTGTGCTCTGAGACTTACCAGACACTTGGAAGAGGCAGGTGGAGACTCCCACGTCATTGGAAATGCTGCACTCATAGCTACCACTGGTCTCCCGGCTTACGCTGTCCACCTTCAGTTCAGAGAAGTCCTGCTGCTCTGCCAGGGGCTGGGCCAGAAGGGTCCCGTTGAAGCGCCAGACCGAGGTGGCCACCTTCATGGGGCTCCCTTTGAGCATGGTGCAGCGCAGGGTGACGCTGCGCCCCACGCCCTGACGCACGTCTTGGAACGTCGGCTCCACCAAGGGAGGGACTGGAGACCGAACAAGAGCAACAGATAGGGATGCCATTAGGGAACAGCTGTCTCAGTCAGCACGGTCACCGCAGTAGTGCCTCTGAGGAGAGAGGCACCTATTATGTCCGAGAGGATGTTTATTTTCTAGGGGGAGCCAGATTTTGTCAAACTAAAAGCAGGAACAGCCATTTGACAGCCCCTTCTGTCTGGGCTGGAGCCACATACCACCTACCTCCTGTCTACTAGGTAGAGAGATGGTCTTCAGCAAGCACTCATTCCACACTGAAACACTGCTTGGAGGAAAAAACAAGGAGATACCAAGCTGCTCTTTTACATATAAATTATACAGCTCTCACAAGTGAGCGCCACAACTTGATCGTCAGATCCTGATCAGAATAACCATAGTCCTCACTCCTCAAATCCAGCATGAGCTGCATACTTGGGGCAAGTATGGCTCCTAAGCATTGATATTCTTCTGTTAACTTCCGACATAGTCAAAAAACAGAGACACGATGTTAGACAGAGGGATACGCATTGCCTGTCCTCACAGAGCACAGAGCCTCAAGGGTCATCCTTCCTGACCTTGGGAGGTGAGTCGTTTCTCTCTATGTTTACTTTCTTGCCCGTAACATGACAATAATGATATGCGGCCACCTCCTTAGCAAAGGCAGGCTATTGAGATTTGTTTTTTTCGCGCTTGTAAAACTTTACGGAAACTTCATGATCTGGGCCTAGCTGAGCCAGATGAAGGGGAAAGCTAAATGGGGGCCCACTCCTTATTTAATGCAATGGCAGAGAACTTCAAACTCCACGGCCATTTGATGGACATGTTTCACTTGCGCTAAATTCTTAATTGAAACATAAAGCATAGGGATAACCAGAAGCGCTCTTTCTAAAATGAGAAAGGCTGCCTGAACACAAACCAGCTGTTAGCCTGAATGTGAAAGAAGGAGAAGGAAGAGTTTTACAGCAGCTCCAGTACAATCACGATTCACCTTCTCTGGGTTCAAAGCACCTGCTCTCCTACAGACAACTTCTGTGCACTACAGATCTATAGAGCACCTATCTCCTCTAAAGGTCCACAGAGCTGATGCAGCACAGTCAGACCCAAAAACCTGCGACAGGCAGCATCTGCCATGCCACAGACACAGCTGCACCAAGACATGTAGGTCACACAGCATCCCTGCTGCTGTGAACACAGCCGTGCCTGGAGGGCTCCAGCACACTAGTCTCTGCACCCTGCTTGGGTGGGCCCAAGCAGGGCCCACCTAGCGACCTCTTCATTTTTACTATAGTCACCTCTATGCTCCATAGTGTCCTTTCTCCTATAAACACAGCCAAACTCATGGGGTTGTAGCATACGAGCATCCCCTCCGTGCAGCAGCTCCTTTTCGACAGTGACTGATTGTTTTCCAGGTATCCATTCTCAAATGTCAACCTCTGGGCCCTTTATTGCACTTAAATGGATTAAAACCAGCCCTTGACTGAGCTCACATTGCCGTGATGAGTGGCATGGTCAGCTCATTACAGATGGCTTTGCTAGCAATGTGTCTCAGCGGGTGCTCCAAGCATTGACTTGCTTTTGGCTCGCACGTCTCCCACCTCACGGTGAGAATAATGTGAGAAGTTGTTTGATTAGACCTAGTGCCATGAATGTGTCATCTCCATCCCTAGCTGCTATCCCATTTCTTGGATCACATCTGCTCCTTAATTGAAGCCGGTAGGGCCTTACAGTCTAATCAAGGCCAGCCGGTGAGGTGGAAAAAGGGGGGGAAAAAAAAAAGAGAGAAAGAGAAAAAGGGGAGAGAAAAAAGAAAGGAAGGCTTCAAAAATGGCACAGGGACTCCAGATGTACTCCAAGCAAACCAACTCACGAGGGAGGGCAGAACAGCTTTGCTCACTCCACAGAAGGGCACCACTGCATGGAGCTGGGACAGAGGAAGATGAAAGGTCTGAAAGACGAAGCCCCATGTCCTCCCAGCAAGGACATACCCTGTGTCTCACCGAGGGAACGTCTGAGGGCAGAAAAGGGTGACAGAGGTGCAGGGCTGGGACCATCCAGATGTTTCTTTAGGTCGCAGGAACAGCAGGGCAGCCAAGTATGCAGAAAACATTTAATCTTCCTCAGCTAGGAAATGGGATTTACTTGCTTTGCATTGGGACAGGCTCTGGGCCTATGTTATCACCTCGTGAGGGGAATATCTGACAGTACATACGCGGTAAAAATTGATTATATTTTCTCCTCTCCACTCTGGCACTACGAAATGCCCAACAAGCCTTAAACCTGCAAACAGTCGTGCAGCCCCTGGGTTTTCTGGAGAGAAAGCAGAAGAGCAAGTCACCCCATCAGTGCAAAGGATGCAGCCCTATGGCAAGGGATAGCTGCTACTGAACGCCGCCAAGGGATATGAAGAAAAAGAGAGGTCAACAGCAACTACAGAGCCAGAGGTCAGCTCCGTCCTCCAGTGCCTGCTGGGGAGCCCACGTTTCTTCAGGTAGATGATAAATAAAACAAAAGAAAGATCCACCACCAATGCAAGGATTCAGACTGCAAATCCTAACAGATAACAACACAGCCTTTTCTCATTACACTCAGAGCTTAAACTCAAAAGAAAGCTTCTTCGAATGAGCCAGTCATCTGACTCCCCAGAACTGGGAACTGAGTAACTCTGGTAAAGTCTGAGATGCAGACAGTCATGGAAGAAAGTAACGCACTGCCTTCTTCACCCCTTTTGTAGGTGGTTCAATGTCCTTCTAGGTCTCCCGTGAATTCCAGCCCATACAGCAGAGGTGCTCCGTTAAGCAGCTGCCGCGTTCCAGGAAACAGGTTGCCACACTTCAAGAGGGCATAAAAATCCTTTGCGTACGCAGGGCTCCGGGACTCCCTGGCAAGCAATTCAGCATACAAATACAGACAATTAACTGGTTTCCCTCAGTGCCCAGCTTAACTCCAGAAGAGCTAATGCAGCAGGAGGAACCACAAAAGGGGTGAGGAGGGCAACGCATCACTGTTCTAGGTAACTACGTTCAAGGAGCGAGGCTCCTCCGGCAACCTTTTTAAGATGCTGCTGCTGCGAAACACAAGGCAGGACAGCCTGCCTTCGCAGCAGAATTATTGTGCAACAAGGGGAAAACATAATCACTCACCTGCTCATTAGGAGCAAATCAAATCAGCTGAACACAAGCAACCTACACCAGCAAGCCAGGCACCCTAAAGCAATGCCAGGCTGCGGGCAGCTCGCTTGCCATGAGCCAGAGCAGATACTCTGCACTGAAGGAGTTGCCATGCTAGCATGGTGCTCCTGACGACGAAGGGCAAAAGCAAGCGAAGCACAACAGAGAAGCGTCAAGTGTCAGGGGTGTTGCTCTGTGCCCCCGATAACCTGTTGTTTTCACTGCAGGTAACTAGGACTGAAAAGCATTGTCCTGCCAGGTGAGTGAGAAATGCACTTGCTGTTGGGCTGTGGCCAAACCTGTAAATATTTGCTTTAAAAGCCTGTTTTTATTTTAGCCCTGAGGAAGGGAGGAACGTTCTTCTCACAAGAGCTGAAGTGCTTGTTGGAGAGACCACCGTCTCCTTGGACCGTTACCATGCCCTCCCGCTCTGGCACAGCTCAGGGAGGGGTATTTAGGGATCCCTGCAATGCTATCAGATCTCTGCAGGTTCCCATCAAGCTTAAATGCCTCCAGAAGGTAGCCACCAGTGTCAGGGATGCTTCCTCCACCAAGGAGGAAGTCAGAACAGGCAGCATAGCAGTGATGCACTGTGAAAAGTATTCCTCTTATAGGGTAAAAATAAAAAAGGGACTTACTTATTTATTTACTTATTTATTTTAAAGGGCAGGGAGGGGGGGAAATGTATCTGACTTTACTTACTGCTCCTATTGCAACTCTTACCCATTGCCTGGCACGCTAATTTCTCCTTTGGGTCAAGGAAGAAAAATGTGGACGTTGCCATTAGGCTGCTGTAGCTGGTATGGATGAAAGACAAAGAAAGGCCTGAGTGGACTGATGCACAAAAATCAGTGACAAGCCTTTTAAGAAACAAACAAACAAACAAACACCCTCTCCCCCCACCCCACCCAACAAATCTGCAGAACAGAGGAACAGGGGAGTGAGGAGACCTGTCTTTAAGAGCTCAGGCAAGAACTGAGGAAAACTGAAAATCCTCAACAGCATGGTACAATGCTACTTTGCATGACATATGCAAGCTCTGCTTTGCCACTGTAGTCTGAGGACCATGAATAGCATATCCTGGTCAATTCCCAAATGCCAACTTGTTTTGAAAAGGTTGTCAGAGCTGAGGAGCTCACTCACGACTCACAGGCAAGCCTGCATCGCACAGCCAGTCTGTGCAGCCTGCCATGAGCTGCTACCCTCCTGTTTCCGTACGGAGTTTCACCTCCTGCAACGCTTCCCCTGCTGCCAAGGCCACCTAAGCAGTGACCAGGCCAGAGCTGCTACAGATGTTTTGAACCCTGGAGCCAATACTTGGGCCTCACACTCTGCCCTCACCCAGGAGGTCTCCGTTCACCCTCCCGTGCCCCATCCTTCTCTGCTCAGCGTGCACCCTGCACAGAGTGGAGGCTCGGCAGGGGCTGGGAGAGTCTGGGGCAGCTCGGTGGGCTGTCAGGGAGGGAAGGTGTTGCCACTTCTTTTCTTCTCAGAAAACTGGAGGCACAGGCAGGAAGATGGCCTGCCTGAGGTCACACAAACCAGCAGTGCTGGATAAAAGCAGCACGGGTATCCTGTATCCTGATCCAGACCTTAGTCCGAGCTTCCTTCCCTGTGACAAACACCCTCCACTCTAGTCATTCATTTGCATTGTTATTTAAAACTAGGAAATGCATCACATAAGCCAAGCGATGAAAACAGCAAGTATCACTAGATTAGAAAGCAGTTTTATCTTCAGCAGCTCCCAGCCCATGCTGCTGGACAACTCCCTCCAAGCTTAGCCACCTTTAGAGCACTGGTGGGTCTCCTGCTTGTAGTCTCTGCCTTAAACCACGCGTCGACCT